TGTAGTCTCCATTGTAGTTCCTTTTTTCGGTTTAACCAATTTTATACTAAGGATTTTATAAGGTATCCCCAAAAAGGAACTACAATGGAGACTATAGGTAGGTCACAAAACCGTATCAAGCAATAACCGAAACGAAAACCCTGCAACCACCCTAAACCCTCAAGCCCTAAACCCAAACCCCTACACCCTAAAGCCTAAACCCTAAGCTCCGGGACCAAAACCGTAAGCCGGAAACCCCAAACCCCTAAGCCCGAAACCTTCAACCCGGCCTCAGCCCCTGAATGAACCCCAAACCCTGAACCCTAAGCCCCAAAACCTTTCAAACTTTTCGCTTCGGAACCATGGCCGAGAAGGCTCCTCCTCCCCGTCCGCACCAAGGAGCAAAGCTCCCCACCTCGGTTTTATCTCTGCCGCTTCGGTTTAGGGTTCATGGCTCAGGGCCTATAGGGTTCCGGGTTTAGGGTTTTGGATTCATGGTTCAGGGCTTAGGGTGGTTTAGGGGTTTAGGGTTTAGGATTTTGGGTTTAGGTTTCCGGGTTTCGGGGTTAAGGGTTTAGGGATTAAGGGGTTTAGGGTTTAGGATTTGTGGGTTTAGGGTTCATGGTTCAGGCTGGGGCTGTCTGCGTCTGTATGCAACCGTGGCCTCGTGCTTGCATGCTGGTATTAGAGGAGGCATGTATACTTTATGTATGTATGTATGTATGTATGTATGCATGCCTGCATGTATGTATGAATGTACGTGAGGACTCTGCACTGCACAGTAGCGCAATGAGTGTATGGATGCATGTGTGTACCTGCCGATGTATGTCTGTCCGTATGTATGCATTTGTATGCATGCACGAACGGATGCATGTATGTGCGCCTCTATGTCTGCACGAGAGTCTGTATGTATGTAAGAATGCGCAGCCATGAGTGACGGAATGCACACGTCAGTGGAACTACACATTCGCCGGGTCTTCCTGAGCTGCCTGCCCGAGCTCGTCGATGCTTGGAATCAGCTTCCTTGTTTATCGACTTTGATCAGATATAACAGATATTACTGTAGTCTACTATGGGGCCCCAACTGTCCGTGTGCCTATACGGAGTTTTCGCGGACCTTACAGAGGTTCCAAGAAAGGTACGATGTGGCCTAAAGTATGTGTGCGTAAATAGATATGTATACATATAAATATAAATGTATGTATGCAGTTATGTATTTATGAACTTGGTTGCTCTGTTTGTAAAAAAAGTCTACAGATCCTGTAGAGATTTAAGGCGTACACGGCCTAAGGGCCTAAAGGTGTTGAAGTGTTGCATTGATGGACTCGATACCCTGTCTGGCCGCAGGATTTCTCGATCATGCCAAGCAGTAGACGCAGCCAGCGTGATGTGTGACGAGCGCAAGTTGTCAGAGCGCTGCAACGTTTCATAGTCTAGGCGGCATTGCCTGAAACAGATGCACAGGGACGTGGTCATGTTAAACTCAATATGTTTATCTGTGTGCTACCTGCTGTGCTGCTTGATCGTCCCATGCACCTCGATTATTCATGATTCTATACTGGCCATGCCAACCTTTGCAAGGGCAGCTTCGTGAATGCAGCTCGGGGGGTGATTTCGGAGAAAGGCGATGCGGTCGGCGCCAGCTTGTTTGCAGACACCCTAGGGTTTAGGCTTTTTGGATTTCGGGTTTATAGGGTTGAAGAGTTTACAGTTGAGGGGTTTCGATTGAGACGAAGAATGCTGGCCAACATCAATCACATAACTTGTTCGATGGATTGCCCATCACCACAAAAGCCCTAAAAAGCCCGAACAGGCCCTTACCTACAATCCCCCATTGTAGTTCCTTTTGGGGATACCTTATAAATTCCTGAATATATAATTGGTTAAACCAAGAAAGGAACTACAATGGAGACTATAGGTAGCTTAAAGTTAGGTATCTAACAGGTCCTAGCCATAAAGCTAGGTACCCGAGAAAAGGGGTGGGGTATGAGCCTTCAGGAAAAAGCCCTAAAAAGGCCCTAGATCCTAATCCCTAAACCCCAAGCCGTCCGCAACGCTCCCGAGGATCGGAATCGGCTCGTCCCCGCGCCGCTTCTTCCGGGGCGCAGAGCCACCTCGGGCTTTCGACTCTAAGGCTGAATGAGTTAGCATTTCCATTTTCTAACCATGCCCACCCCCCTAGGCCACCTGAAGACCCAAAACCATAACAACCTATACCTCAACTACCAAAAAGACC